GGGGTGGGGTCGACCTGGGGGAGGGCGCATGCGGCATCACTGGAGTGGCCCGGGCAGCTGGCGGGGCGGCGCACAGCAGCGCTCGGCTGACAACTTGGCCAGACGTAATGCCGGGGCGCCACGACGCGCGTGGAGTGACGAGCGGCGCAAGCGCGAACTTGTGGGCATGTGCAAGGTAGGAGTACAGTAAGCCAACCAACCTGCGCCAGCCGCTCAACCTCCAAGTCCAGCTCGCTCCAGCCAGAGCTAGACGCATTGCTGCCGCCAGCCTCAAACAGGTGGTTCAGGCGCACGCTTGAAGGGACGTGCATGTCATGAGTGAACCAATCTGCATCGGCGTCAATCGCCGAGCCACGGCGGAGAGCGCTGGGGGCGCTGGAGGGCGGAGCGCTAGCGCTGCTACCGTCCCCCACGCCATAAGTGTCGCGCCACTTAACGCCTCGCGGCTCCTCCATGTATTACAGCTGCGACACCTCGCCACTGGGGCCACTCGTCTGAAGATCACCAGCAGCAGGGTTACATGAGTAGTGTTCTATCACAAGCATTTACGTATACATCATGTTGATGGTATCGAGGCAAGCGAAGACCGCAGCCGATCACATCCAAATCAAACTGGTCATCGCGAAAGCTCGTGCTGTGCGCTAACCAAAGGCGCGAACTATCGTCAAAAGGTTGTTACACCAACACTAGCCACCAAGAACGCTCTCGAACTCGAGCTAACCCTCGCAGCGCGCGAGCCGATGACGTCCATGGCCGCCACTTCGCCAGTGGCGCCACGCCGACTGTTGTTACTGCTGCACGGGGCCCGAATTTACGATCCCCTGGTCCGCGAGGCAATCCATGGCCTGAAGGAGGACGGCCACGAGGTGCGGCAGTGCGGGCGCGATGAAAGTTTTGGGCAGCTGGGTGTCGTGGACTGTCAGTGCTGGCCTGCTTCACGCAGCGCCGTACAGGGGGCAGCAGCTGCACCATCTGGGGCATCAAGGCCCCCAGTCGGGTGCATGATGCAAGCTGCAGAGCGCCCGCAGGCCGCGCAGGCGTACACATCCTTCGGCAACATCTTGGCGCTGTTTTCACCGCCGCCGACTCGCAGCTGCCCGCCACACGCGCTGACAGAGCGACGTCCACGCATGCAACCCTCACGACCGCCCCAACCGCCGCCAGGTCACCGTGCGTGTCACTTGGGACTCTGGTGATGTGGACAGATTCGTCCAGGAGGCTGCGCTGCTGGACGGCGCGCGCCGCTTTGGTGAGCGCAGGAGGGTGCGGTGGGTGCACCACCCAGCACGTTGATTGCACCAATGGCAGCAACACATTGACAAGCGCACACACCTGAGAGGGGGGCGTCGTCTTGGAGCAGCCCCGTGCTGCTGATCAAGCTCGTGTTGCGCTTGTGTGTGCGCGTGATGTTGTGCTTGAGACAGGCCTGAGGTAGGACGTGAAGAGGCTGTTGCGTAGAATGTGCTGTGAGTCCTCCGCAACCTCGTCCGAGTGCCCCTTCCTGACGCCACTTCCCCCCTGCATTTCCCCTGCTCCACTTGGCCACGATGCGACAAACCCCCTGCCAGACACCATTGTTGCCGGCGGCGGTGATGGCACCCTGAATGAGCTTGTGGCCGCACTGCTCAGGCCCCCGGGCAGTGCCCTGCTTACCGAGGGCCCTACCACCACAATTGCGCAGCTGCCCCTGGGCACAGCGAACGACCTCGCCTCTGCCAGTGGCATCTCCCTGGTGGGGGCAAATCGGCAGGCTAGGGCTTCTCTTTTATTTTTTGTGTTGCGGTTCGTATGTGTCCGTTTGTGGTGAGTGTGTGTGCGTGTGTGTGGGGTGGGGGGTGGGTGGGTGCGCGCATTGGTGCAGCCGCTTGCGCACCTGTCATGTTCCCGCTTGCCATCTTGCGTGCGGCGAGGTCCTCCGCTCCCCCACCCACCTATGCCGTACCAATCAATTCCATGCACCACCCGCCAACCAAATAGGACCCCCGGAGGGCGCTGGCGCTGGCGGTGGACCCCCAGGCTGCGCGGCCCATCGACGTGGCCCTGGTCAACGGGGAGGTGGGCGGCCGCTCGCATGCTGCGGCTGCGCGGTCGGCAACGTGTCAGCGTTTTTGACTGTTCACAAGGGACAAGACATGTGCATGCGTGCATGCCGCTGCATGGCGTGTGCACGGGCGTGATACACAAATCTCGTTCGGCCCTTGCGTGCGCCAGGCGGCTGCCCCCGCCGCGCCGTTGTGCTCGACCTCAACAACACATTGTGCCTGATGTTTTGGTGCGAGGGCTCATGAAGCGGCACTGGTGCTGTTGGCATATCTGTCGCCAGGTGTTTTTGAACATCGCGACGGTGGGCCCCGTTTCGGAGGTCAGCAGCAAAGACATGAGCGACGCCGCCAAGAAGGCCCTGGGCCCCGCGGCCATCATCGTATCCAGTGAGCGGGGGCGGGTGGGGCAAATGGGCCACTGTGACTCGGCAGGTCTGGGAAGTTGGGCGGGCGTTTCAAGGGTGTGGGCGAGAGGGGATCAGGTAGGGTGCAGGTGCCGACTCACCACCATCTAATCTCCACACACACCTTGACGCCTGGTTCATTCGGGGGAGTGGTTTGGGGGGTGAGGTGATTGTGACGATGCGTCACTGCTCAAGGGCCCAGCGCTGCCAAGGTGTTGTATTTGGCATGCCCTTGCGACGTCCAACCACGACCCCTCAACGCCACAGCCGACAAGCACGCCCGGCTTTGCACCCCATCTTTTCCCGCGCCACGCTGCCGGGCAGCCCCGTGACGCCGCGACACCGACCTGCACCCCCAACCCGCAGGCATTCGGCAGCTGCTTGTAGCAGGGCTGCGCCCCAAGCAGGGCGTCACCATCACCTACCCACTCAACCCCTCGGCTGTGCCGCCGCCGCCTGAGCCCCAGCCCTGCCCACCCGGCCAGCCCTGCCCGCCCACGAGGGTCCTGTCCAGCTCCGGCCTGGCCGCCCCCGGGGCGCTGGCTGGTGCAAGCAGCGGCCCGCTGCTCGACGCCGCCGCCGAGCAGCCGCCGCCCGCGCCGTCGACGCCGCAAGACAGGGGCGGCGGGGGCGGGGG